CCCAGGTCTTCCTATAGGGTTCAGGGCATTATGGTTTAGGGCTTATGGTTGAGGGTGTAGGGGTTAATATACATACCCTTACTAGTTGAGGAATACTCCTTTAGTCATAATTTGGGACGCTGCCATAACTCATGACATAAGATTTTTTACTGAATTAAGGGACAGTATATTATAAATGAATTAATCCCTGGAAAGCCGTAGAAAGCCTTTACAGGAGACCTGCATGGAGCAAGGAAGACTGATTAAGGCATAATGGACGGTTTGGGTGTGTACAGCCAGGTCTTAGAGGAGATGTTGGGCTACTGTAGTGGGTTGGCAACTAAACCCTGCCTGGGGATCCAAAAACCTGCCCGGAGTTGCGCAGTAAAGCTCTGAAAACCTGTTCAGCTTGCCTTGGCTGCTAGCTTCCAGCCCCAAATCCGTGCATAGAAGCCTGAATAGATGCCACTATAATTCCTCAGGGGTCCGTAATAATATCATCATACCCCCAAAGGGTCCAAGTATCATTATGGTATGTTCTTAGACCCCCAAAATACCCCATAAGTCTATAAGTATATACCAGAAAGATACTTGGACCCTTTGGGACCCGTAATATGCCCCCAAGCTACTCTGATCATGCAGACTCCTCATACTCAGCAGGGCTCTGAGCCGGCAACGGTTTCTCCTCAACAAATGCCTGCATCATAAGCCGATGCCTTCGGTTTAGGGTTATAGGGTTTAGGTAACTATCCGCAACTCTGTTGAGCCTTAATAATCTTCAACCGCAAACCCTACACCCTAACCTAACCCGTTAAGTCAACGCCGCACTGTGAGGCCGCAGCATGAGGGTGGCTGTTTCTGCCTTTGTGTAACTTGGCGGCAAGGCTCATAGGAGGCCAAAAGGGGTTTTTGCCTATGGGGGTTTAGTAGGGATTAGGGTTCCCATAATAGGGTTCATATTAAGGAATCCCTACCCCAAGAATCTTAAACACAAAGGCCTCCCATCAGTTGAGGGGCGAGCCCAAGCTCACGGGCTTTGACAACCGGGAAGTGGCTCATGCTTGAAATGCTATGAGGCGTTCTCAAGGTACGATTGATGACACAAATCCGGCATCACCTGAATGACCCTAGACTTTGGAACCGTCCTAGCCCGGCCCGACCTGGACCGTAAGAAACTACCTTTCTAGGGTTCCTCATATGAGCTCCTTAGACTAATATTCCCTTAAACTAAAATGGTTGGTTATTTGGGCCTAAGGAAAACCCTAAACCGCAAACCTGCACCCCAAATCCACTGAAATCTAAACCTGCAGCCCTTCACGTTTCAAGCGCAACTAAGTTTGAGGGTTTAGGTGTAGGGTAAGGGTTTAAAGGGTTCAGGTTTCATAGTGTACAGAGGCCTTACGAACTCAAAATCGGCTTCTTAGGCAGGGTTGATAAGTTTAAGGTTTAGGGTTTCTGGTTAGCTCCTACCTCGAGGAGAGGTTCGAACGCTTCACAGTGGCCGATATCTGCATGGCAAGCCTTGCACATCGTATACCCCCAATGCTTAATTCAACACTTTACTAGTAGTAGTGTAGGTAACCGTTAACCTTTTCTCGGGCACAAAAAACCCTCTTTGGGAGTTTCCGAAAATAGGGGACCCTAATAGAGTACCCCAAATAGTAGGATCCTTATTATAAGGACCCCACAATAAGGTAACCCCAATTTTCGGAAACTCCCATATGATCCCAAGTTCCCCTAGGCACTGGACGGCTGGGTACACGCCCTGACCGGACCCAGTCTCTGAGATTCTTTGCCGTAGATCCTACTTGGAGGGTCGGGGGACTTAGTAAGTAGGTAGTAAGTAGACTTATAAGTACCCTAAAAGGGACCCTAATTGGGGCTATGATACTTATAAGTCCCTAAAATAACCAGCTACTAAGTCCCCCGACCCTCCAAGTACTTACTGCTATTAAAAACGCTTAACCGAAATCCCAACCTTCCCATACAACATATGCCCCAAAGGGTCCAAGTATCATTATGGTAAATACTTAGACCCCCAAAATACCCTATAAGTATATACCATAATGATACTTGGACCCTTTGGGTGCATGGGGTGCGAAGCTACTCCATCAAAAGCCCTTTGCGGCCAAGACACAAGCCGGCCAAACCACATTGGAACATGGGCCCTTTCCCTAAGGGTCCAAGTATATAATAATCATATACTCTCTTAAATATTGAGCTACATAACTACTATCCTAAACCCAAGTACTTGATTATTGGGTCCTTTGGACCCTTAGGGTTTGGACGCCCAACCTCAAAACCCTAAACCTGGACTAGACCTTAAACCCCTAAAGCAGCAGAGTTTGGAATTGATGCTGGCACAGAGCCTTTTGTTGGCTCCCTTCGGTCGCGCAGATGTCCCAAGCGGCTATGCGAATTCGGGCACTTCCAGCATCCGGGCTCGCATGTGTTTTTTTCGTGGATCTTGCAAATCTAAAGAACCTTGTTTCGTAGAGTTATGAAAGTCCATCCGTTCGTTTCCTTGGTTTGTCGGAGGAGTAAATTGTTGTCTTTTTTTGCATTTTCGACGGGAGCCAGGTTAGTACAGTGAGTCATGCCTATTCATGGAAAACTACACAATTTGCACTCCAGTACCTAAGATTATTCTGGGCCTCTGTTTTTGTTCATCTCCCTGGTTTTTCCCCGAATCC